GCAGTAGTTGATGATTTTACAGTACACGATTTTACATTTACCCAATAATTATAATTCATGAAGTGTCGGTTTTACCTCCAATACTGCTGCTTTCAAAACAGCAGCTGCTCTCTACACAGTAGCTGCTGTCTACAGAGTAAGGTGACTGGTCCACCTAAGTACACTATGGCGTCAACCCTGTCACATACACCTGTATTTGTACGGAGAGTATATGATGGGGTTGGCACGAAGATGTCATCACACTGGGTACTTGTCAGTGGGCGTATGTGCGTGTGGGCAGACATACCTGGAGACGGATAGAAGAGTGGTGTCTCCGTTCCTAAAACCATCGGAAATATGTGTTTTGTGATGGCAACCCCTGTGTTGAGAATAGCTGCGTTCGAGGGAGTTCCCCCTATGCCCACTGTCCGTTTCCCTAAGCTACTACTCACTACAATTTGGTGACAAACCTAGAAAATGACTGTCAATAATTGGTTTCTTTATCCATGCCACAGTTCTGCAACTAATGCTCAATTCACTTTTAATTTAAGTAGTATTCTATGCTTCCTGCAAAAACTTTGACTAATACAGAATGAAAATATAGCAAAAAACAAAGAGAAAATATTTTAAAATTTTGCAACATATAAGGTGTGAATGGATGAGAAACGTTTTTGCAGTGTCATTAATGCTTTAAAAAATGGGAGTCTTAAATTACTTTAAATAGAAAGACATGATTGTATTTAATACTTAGTTTCCTATTCTTATTCATTTTAATATTTTAGGAGTTTAAGCTCCTAAACATAGTAGAGTAAGGATCTCTATGACCTTAATGAAATGTAAATCATTCAGGTATTTGTTTTCATACATTACTTGACATTCAAGTAATTAATATTAAAGTCAGTAATTAAAATAAATAAAATAAAGTTATTTGTTTTTAATTAGAATGTTTTCATTAATATTATTACTAAACCTTGTTGTTGATTTTTATTCCAACAATTCCTCTTTAAAAAGTAATATTTACAAACAGAAGAGGAGAAATAAGAGGGAAAACAGAATTCCAATAGTGAAATTTCAAAGTACTAACCCACTCAACAGTCATTTTGAGCCTGCCAGTATCCCAATATTACGTCCTAACCATAACACCAGCTAAAAGATGCTAACACAACATGAAGGAGCACTATATCATGGATGTGCTTTGTTCTTACCTGTTTAAACTAGCTGAGCCTGAAATATAAAATTGGAGGGTGATTATCCAGAAATATTCTTGTTTAGCATGATAAATGCTATGCAACAATGAACAATCAAGGGTATTGTATTAACATGTCTGAAACTGTGAGGGAACGAGAGGAAAGTGCGTTCTGCGCTGCCTGTTTTCTATTGATCATAATTGCTGGGAGGCTTAGCCAGACAGCCTCCCACTTGACTAAAAGGGAATCCGTTCATATCAGAGTGTTTCTTTGCTTTATTTTTACAAGTACCAACTCCTTTCTAATGACAGATATAATTTTTAAAATATAAACTGGCAACCTAGAGCTTGAGGAAATGGTATATTAAGTAATTCTGATCTCCAGAATAGAGACCTAACTACAGTGCACAGTATTAAAATAGATTTTAAATAAATAATAAGTACCTGTTAAACCACAACCCACACAGCAATTTCATTTGTTCTTTTTTTAAGTTTTTGCTAAATATATGTCAATAAAAGGTTCCTCAAATATTTTCCATAGTTCTATTTAAATTAAGCAATTAAGTCATGTGCATGACAACTGGTTGTATTATTTTTCTCTTAAGAAGAATATATACTTTATATTTTAAGAAAATGTTAACTAATTTCCATTCACCCCAACCACTTTTCCGTACTAGTATGAGTTTGTTACATGTTCCTCTCATACCATTACAATCCGTGATTATTTATTTTGGCTTCACTGATTACTAAACTATATTGAAATTAATTAGATTTCCTCCTGTTCTGATGGATGCATACACACACATACACAATCTGCCACATATATTTGGCCATGATATGTTATAGAAAAATAGATGAATAACAAATGTAAACCTTGTACTTATGTCTCCCAGGGAGTTATTTTACTGCCAATGTACATGGCATTTTTGATTCAAAACATTTTCTCATTTAACTTTGATGTGACAGCAGATTTGATTGAGCTTTTTCAAATATACATAGAAAAACAAACACAGCATTCATTTATTTGATCTTATCATTATAGAGGTTAGTATATGAAAATCCCTCTCCCCACACGTTACCCTAAGGTCTAAGCAGTCACCCATTGTTGGAGAGATTTCAGTCCTAAAAGGCAGTGAACCAAGCTATAATTCATGAGCTCAACTCCTGAAAAGCAATATGTAAAGGATTTTTTTGCTTGTTTATTTGCTCATTGTTTTTATTTGCTTTGTTTTTTTCTGAACTGGTATCGCTTGTGTAATTAAGGAAACTCTCTCAGAGGAGTAGCTTGCTAAAGCCAGCAGCGTGCTAAATGTTTGAGGTCACATTTGCCCTTTTTAATATGCATGCATATTTTTATTTCGTTTATTTTCTCTAGAACACATACTCTGGTGATTATATTTGATGTTGTTCAGAAAGTAGGCATTTGTTAAATGTGCAGGAGGTCTAGAGAGGTCGTATAAACCTACTAGTGACATTCAATGCCAATATCAAACAAAGCATGGAATCAAACAGATGGTGACACTGGGCAGAGGGAATAATTGGCTTCTCCTTGACCTGTTATTTCTACATTCTCTATGCACTCAGCTAAATAAACACCATCATGCCTTCTGAAATGAGTTTATCTATTTCTGAATATTTCACCTTCTATTTATGATATTTATGATACTTCTATTGATTTTCTGATTCCAAAAGTTTTCTAACGGGCAGTCGCTATAGGTTCAGATGTAGCAAAGTTGTCCAGTACTTTAACTGGCCCCATGTTTATGAAACAAGTAATTAAGTAGTCGTCATTCATGGAGCTCATGGGATTAGTCATGTTTCTTTGTTTTCCTTACTAAGTGGTCACTCTTGAAAGCACCCTCCACAGGTTAGGTCTGACCCAATTATTGCAGCCCCTGTGTCAACCCATCATGTGAGCATCTTTCTCTTATTTAGCTCAGAGACAACCTTTTGAAGAAAACTTTTGAATGAAAGTTTCACATTTGTGTCTCTCAGTCTATGGTTTGTATTAATAAAGTCCTCCAAAGGAGGTATGATTCTAGGACAGTTTTAATTTCCCACCAGACGCTTTACAGAAACATGCATGATGAATTGTTATTTTCCAAATAGATTTTCTCTACTTCTATCCCTGCACATTTTGAAAGTAAACAGACTAACAAAATCTCTAACTAAAATATAGTATTCTCACAGTTATCGTAAATCTTCTGGTAGACAGATCATTTCAACCTGAATAATTGAATGACTTTATATGTAGGAGAAAAAAATAAAATTACTTTTCGATTTAAGGATTTAAGAACAACAGGAAATAATGCAACCCATGTAAATAATGTGTATCTGCATGAGATGTCCAGTGTATTAAAGACTAATGTGAAGGAAGTTGCTTATTTTGTAAAAAAAATTCATAACACACATGTTATTTGTGCAAAAAGTATGCCATATGTGTATACATACACATAAAATAGATAAGTATAAACATATAATTAAAAAATCAAAGGCAAAACAGTATTGCTACTAAGGTCCCAGTCCATGCATGAGCGGATTTTCAAGATAAACACAGCATGTTGAAATCTGTCTCTGTGGCCAGTAGAAGGCTACAGCCAAGTTCTCTCAGAGATATACTTGCTTTCATTTTAATACACTGCTTTCCCCTCAAAACGGTCTAATCCAGTCACTTCTAAAGGGATCTTCAGGACCAATTAAATCCCTGACTATGGGTTTGGAGATTCTGAAGGGCATCTTGAGAGATTTTCTCCATGCAGATGGAGCCATGGGTGGCTTAGCAGGAATACGTTTTAGCAAAATTGAAAGCTACACTGATGAGAAAAGTCATACCCAATCATTCTGTTTTTTCCCATAATGACAAAATGTCAGGGTAGCATGGGCTAGGCTATAAGAAATCCACTGGGAATCCTTACCCCATCTACCCATTAGATATTATCTTGCCCTTCCCACTTTGTTCTATTCCTCAATAGATCATGGAATAGAAGCATAATTTGATTAACCAGATTATGCTAAACTGCTATGTCATACATTGAAGGACACAGACAGATTTAGGTAGTTGTTAATGAAATGGAAGTGTATAGACCTAGGTGTAGCATATATCAATAAACAAAGCTCCATAATTTTATAGTATTGCCTAATAAAGGTTTTTATGATCTTGTAACAATATTTTTTAACTGATCCAAGGGTATGTGAATCTGTGTCATTATATGTAGCTATGCGTGTATGTGCATGTGCTTATATGCATGTGCATAGCTACATCAAGAGATGATAGGTAGGTAGGTAAGAGGCAGGTAGACAGATAGTTCTGATTGTGGGACTGCTTGCAGGGTAAGCGGCTCAAAGCAGCACCTGCTGCATGGGAGAGAGATGAGGCTGTCTGCTCCCATACAGATGTACAGCCTTGGAAAGCCTTCAAGTGCCATCCTGTCTTAAGGGTCACTATGTGTCCGACTAAACTCGTTTGTATGCATTTGTACAAACCCACACATATGTCTGTGTGGGCGTGTATGTGCTCATGCAGGCACACAGTTCCTTTGAAAATGTTGATGCTATTTGTTTCTAGTGAAACAGCCATTTTCTTGTAAACAGAATCTCATTCATTTCCCTCCTCGTCATTGATTGAACCAAGCTAAGTCTGAGCAAAGTGAATTTCTATGTCCAATCCTTCATTCTCTTAACCAGTAATAAAGAACCTTGCTGGCCTGACAGGTTGTCACAGCAATTATTCACATGAAGTTCTGTAGCGGTTGTCTCTGTCAGCCCAAGCAGTATTGAATATTTTAACTGGCAGTCTTCCAAGACTGAACATTAATCTTACCATCTCCTATTACAGTCCCTAATCAAGATATTCCAGGGGTGATTGCCCTAACATTGTTTGAAGACTACATCTACTGGACTGATGGGAAAACCAAGTCACTCAGCCGCGCCCATAAAACCTCAGGAGCAGACAGACTCTCACTGATTAACTCATGGCATGCCATCACAGATATCCAGGTGTATCATTCTTATAGACAACCTGATGGTAATTATTCTTCACATGATTTCCATAAATGCATCACCATTTTCCAGTAACATTCCATTTTTTGTTTCTCCAAGATTAAGTGTAATTTTATTTTTGAGAAGTAGTACCAGGTTATATTATTTAGAATCATTTAAAAGAATGCATTTTGATAATATCAATTAACTGTTGATCATATGAAAAGCTCAATATTTACACAAAGGATTATTTTTGAAGTATTATTATTAAGATGAAATTACAATATAACACCGATTTAAGCTGATGAAGAATGCATTAGTTAAGCGATGTTCTTTTAAACATAAAGATGAAAGGCTTGTTCTGGGTGTAGAGTAGAAGGACTATTTCTGTAGCTAAAGTACAAGAAAAATAGAGATATCTTCATTTTGCTTAATCATATATCTACTGTGAATTATATCATGCCTGATTGAATAAAGGTTTATCAGTTTACTTAAAATATATATCTTGCCTACAAAGAAAAATCACTATTTTATTAGTTTTAGATCATTGTTTCACTGTTTTATTTTGCATTTATATTTATAAACATATGTATGACCTCATTTAAAATGCTGCTCCTCTGTTTATTTTTTCTAGGGGTAATTTTTTTCTGCTAAAAATGCTTATTTCCATGAAAATGCATTCTTGAAAGTATTTAGTGACAAAATAAATGTCATTGGACAATGAGTAGCATTTGTAACAAAATTAAATGATATTTACAGTCTTGACAATTTCCTGAACACAGTCATGTTCAAATATAGATTATGAAGCTTAAATACTGTAACTCTAATTCAACATTGTTATTAGTCTCAATTATCCTATTTCGCTCTTTTTTTCTTTCTCATCTGCAGTCTCCAAACATCTCTGCATGATAAACAATGGCGGTTGCAGTCATCTGTGCCTGTTAGCCCCTGGAAAGAAGCACACCTGTGCGTGCCCTACCAACTTTTATCTGGCAGCTGATAACAGGACGTGCTTATCCAACTGCACTGCGAGTCAGGTGAGTAAACGAAAACAGCAAAGATATCACCATGGCTAGCAAGTGGATTTTACTTCACAGTGATGCGATATAGGGTTTCCAAGCCCAGAAGTCCTTATGGGAGGAGGAGTCTCATCTTTCTCCTGCAAAACAGTTGGTCAATTTGAATCACAAACCTTGCAGTTTACATAACAGCCCTTTGTATATCCCAGAAAGCCAAGCTTCTTCAGGCAGGTGAGACGAGGTCTGGAAATGGAATGTGATGTATGAACAAGATATTAAAAAAGACCTGCTTTATTGCTATTTTTTTAATTTGTCTAATCTGCTCATGGATAAACATAATTTTTTCTTTTATCGTAATATTGGATTAGGATTCCATACTCTATAGAAAGGTAAAGCAGTTTAAAATATATTACTAGAACAAGGCCTTAGAAATATTTTTACACAGATTTATATGGAATGATGGTTCAAACCATGAGTGAAAATTGCAGAATCCTTAGAGGATATTTTGTAGAATTCAAGAAGTTACGTTGAATAAGCCATAGGATAAGACAAAGATGTATGCAATTTAATAAGAGAAAATCTTCCTCAATCTTCTGTTCTTGAAGTCTGTCTGTTCTTGAAGTCAGTCTGTTGAGACCCAATGCAAAGGAATTAGATGAGTTAGTAGAGAAAGCACCTGCCTGAGCTGTTAGGGTTTGGTTAGTCAAGATGGCCAACCAGAATAAGAGTATCATTTGGGATGCTTTGACTTATGAATGAGCATGTTGAACATCAAGGAATAAAAAATTTCAAATTATTAAAAAGGGAAGACTTGTATTTACTCAAGAAATACTTGTATTACTTAATACACAAAACTTCAACCAGGTAATTACATGAAAGCCTAAGCTGAACTAGAAATTATGATCTGTAGAAGGAGATGATCTCCAAATTTGTTATCAATGATGACTTAAAATAAGTGTAATTTTTCAGATCCCATGCTTGGGTTGAATAGTATTCCCTCAGATACATGCCCTTCCCAGCACCTCAGAATAAGGCTTTCTTTGGAAATAGGATCTTCACAGCAAGTCATCCTGGAGTAGATTGGGCCTTACATCCAGTATGACTGACATCCTTTTAAGTCTGGGAGACACACAGACAAGTACACACACACAGAGAATACCTCTGGCACACCAGAGACACAGATCGACGTGATGCATCTCTAAGCCGGGGCTCCAAGGATTGCTGGTAACACCAGAATCTGAAAGAATGACAAGGAGCAGGTAGTATACATTCTACAAAAGCAAAGCAGAAACAACACAAATGTGGTTCAAATATCTTTGTTTCAGTCATATTTTATGAAAAAAAAGTGTTATCACTTATTTGCTTCATCCTCAAGGAAAATGTTAATGAAAACAACTAACACAATTCACTATTCCTATAAATCATTTGGTATATAAATTTATTTTAACTTCCATTCTCTTCTGATGCTAAGGGACAAAAAAATATCTACTGTACATTCTTTAGAGTAAGATCAGTTTATACAAACAGTTTTCAGTGAGGTAGGCATTAAAATGAAATAAATCTATGTATCACAATGCTACTAACCATTCCAATAAGGCTATGGCAGTATTGATTTATCTTAAAAAGGGATTTTGATTTATTGTCACATGATTTAATGACACATGTCAAAAACACTATTGAATTTCTGACAAATAAAATAGGTAAATCACAATAAGAATTCAATTAGAGTTCAAAGTGTACATGAGAATTGAGTCAAAATCAAGATAAAATTAAATTATTAAAGCACCAACCATATTAGATAGGAAATGTAAATTACTCAAATTAGAAAATGCAAAGTAAATTTTTAAATGGCTTTAATTTTCTAAATTCAATGGCTTTTTGTTTGTTATTGTTCTAAGTACACTTAACTATGTTGATATATGTCATATCCTTATTCCCATATTTACCCACTTGCAGAAACATAGTTCTGACTTATTGCTGTCTTAAAAGGTCAGGGTAGAACTGCTCCATTGGGCTACTGAAATCTCAGTAAATCTTCGTAGGAGACAGCCTCATTTTTCTTTTGAGAAACAGCTAGTAGGATTTGAACTGCTGATCTTTCCCTTAGTATTCTAATGTTTAACCTACTGTGCCATGCCACAATTACACCATTGTTTCATATTAGCAGAAGTTGATTTAATAATTTGTTGCTGTTGGTTTAAAAAAATAGATTCTAATTGCAGTCTGCAATTTATTTTATGATATTAGTGTTACCGAGAAGGGGCGCAAGGTTTTCACCTCCCCATTCCCCAATACTCCCCTTGCTTGCTAGAGAGATTTCAGGCAAGTGACAAAATTCAGCCCAAAGTCGGAGAAAAGGACTGGACATAGAGTGTAACTTTATTAAAGGCTATACTCTGGGGGTGGAAAAGTCCAAAGGGCCTTTAGCTTAGTCTAAAACAGCCTGGTGAAATGTAAACCCAGACCTTTTATTCTGCTATTAGCATAACCCCACCATTGGCTGACTGGTTCTTGGTAATACCTCCTCTTTCCAGGTATGTGGATACCTGCACCCCAGCACCCCAGGTTTAATGATGTGTCCTTGTCTCCAAATTCCAAACCCAAGAATCTATTCAGTCATAGTCATTGCTCGGGTAGTGTCAACACTCCTTCTCCACCCAGACTTTTCACTATCTCAGGTCTCTTTCATTTCATTATCTGCCTTTCATCCTCCTCTGTGCTGGAGAGGTTTGTAGGGATCAGGTCTCTGCCTCCTTTCTGTAAATATTACTGCCAGGGTCCTATCACCATCTTCCTTCTGACCACCTTTATCTAGCTAACATTAATCTTGCAGAACACTTATACTGTAGTGTTTTAAATTTATATTTGGCATTAGCTTCTTAAAGTTATTGACTTTAGCTATAAAGAGATAAACCTCAGACATGGAATAAAAGATTGTTATGAATAAAATGTTACTAGCAAAATGGAAACATGATGCATCAATTTTATCCTGGTTGTCTCTGCATTCAAAATCCTTTCAATTAAAAATTAAAATGGAGACCAAAATTTTACACACACACACACACACACACACACACACAATTGAATCATGGGGGTGGGGAGACTTTTAAGATGTTCAAGATACTTGAAATATTATTAATGTGCTTGGATAGAATCATTGGAAATGTTGTCGAGGCAATTGCTTTCAGTATTAGCCTCATCCTGCCCCCCCCCAACAGGTAATATCTGTAGAGGTGATTCTGCCTCCCCCTTTGGTGATATAATGGTGACATGATTAGTGTTGTTACTGGAGTTTAGACTCTCGCTTCCCTAAATAAAAAAAGGTTTACTTTGGGAGACCAGTAGGGCATAGCAACGAGACTTTTATTACAAACTCCAAGGGGGAAAAATCTTCCTAGCCAGCATGGCGCATCTAGGTACTTACTTCCCACGTTCCTACCAAGCCTTGGGGGTGCTAGATTTTGGGATTGGGATACCTCAGTTCTTGCTTCCCAGGGGCAGAAGCACTTTGTAATCCAAGGGACTTTTACGATGACAAGGGAAGTTTCAAGTATCAGACTCAAAAAGTACAGGGGCCTCAGGGGCCCGCAGTGCACGTGCGCCTGACAAGGGAGAGCTCGGCATCACCTGCCTGCCAATCAGGCCCCAAAGAGAGCCAGGCTGCCTCTGCCTGGCTTTGGTCCCCACTGGCTGGGGGGGCGTGGTTGAGGGGATTGGCCAACCTTATTGGCTGAGTTTAAGCCCAACTTTGCAATGCCATGTGCCTAGGTTTTAGTCAAATTCAGCTTCACCAGCCCTTACGGGCGTCCTAGTCTGCGCATGCCCAGTTTGGATCTTTGTATGGGTGTCTAATTAGGGTGCCTGATTTCTTTCCAACCTCATTGTTGTGCCCTGGGCAAGCATTAAGGAGACAACCCTCCCTTAGTGCCTAGTCTAGCTACCTAACAGGAGTATTCAAATGCAAGAGATTCTCAGGAAACTTCTAGTGGGGAATTTCTGCTGGGGGTGGCAGGGGGCAGGTGTAGCAAATGGTTCTGGGAAATGTAGTCTCAATATATTGCAAGGACCCCACTCACACACGCAGACCCTTTCCACACACACAATGTTCTGCCCAAATGTCCACATTTGACCCGTTGCCCTGTCTCACTAGTAACTCATCCAATGTGGGAAAGCCTTTCAACATGCAGTCACACCGTCATTTACAGGTACAGTGCTCTGTTCCTCCTCCTGTTGTCACAGAAGACAATGTTCACTGTCATGTGGAGATTAACATAAAGCCGCCTTTGAATCACCTCCGGGCACATGCAACAAATACTCCCATGGGATTTTCTCTTACTTGAGGCAAGCTGCAATATTTCAAATGAACAGACTCTTAGCTTACTAATCCATTTTCATTAGAAAAAGAAAAGAATAAGAGTAGGCTGTATGTTCTACGTTACAAATAGTTTTGTACACAACATGCTAAGATAAATGCAGATGCTGGGAAATTCCCAAATAAGAACTTCAAAAGGAAACTGAATACATTTTAGAGAGTTATTTATTTTATTTGTTCAGTCTAGATGAAAAAGTGATATGTGTTTTTTCCTAAAATGCTATTAAAATGAACAAGGAAAAATTATGATACCTGAAGAAATTGACTTCAACTTCGTTGAATTATTTGCAGTGAATGTTTTAATAACAAGCATTTCAATTGCATATATATTCAATATGGAACATTTGATGTTTCTTCCATTTTCTTAAATGGAAGTAGCTTAAAACCAACTATTGTTGAGGCACGAGTTTTTAGGCTGAGAAATAAATTGAATGTGCTCTTTAGGGACTCTGTGTAAAGTTGCCCAACAGAAAAGTAATAGGAATAGTTCTTTTTGTGTCTCAGTAAGTGAGTATGGCTTCAGATCACCTTCTTTATAAGTAATATGCTAGAGTATCCTCTTGAAGTTATTCTCTAGTAACAAATTACAT